AGCAGGAGCACAAAAAAAATATAAAATTAAGTACATAGCATGACATGATTCCGTGACCTTCTTGGAGGAGATGCTGCAGTTGGAATTCTGTGCAGGTTTGATAATCTTTTAGTAAGAAATACATAATTCATGAAAAGTTACTAAGTGTTCAATTTTACAGACTTGTACAGCTGACTTTTTTTACTTGTTCTGTGATATAATTACTTGTGCTGGTTTTGGTTGGGACAGAGTTAATTTTCTTCATAGTAGCTGGTATGGGGCTATGCTTTGGATTAGTGCTGGAAACAGTGCTGAAAATGCAGAAATGTTTTCCTTATTGCTGAGCAGTGTTTACACAGAGTCAAGGCCTTTTCTACTTCTCACAGCACCCGTGTGCAGGCTGGAGGTATGCAAAGAGCTGGGAGGAGAGACAGCCAGAACAGCTGACCCCGACTGACCAAAGGAGTATTCCATACTATTTGGCATCATGGTCAGCATATAAAGCTGGGAGAACAAGAAGAAAATGGAGGATATTCAGAGTCATGGCATTTGTGTTCCCAAGTAACCGTTAAGTGTGATGGAATCCTGCTTTCCTGGAGAGGCCTGAACACGTGTCTTCAGATGGGAAGTAGTGAAAGACTTTCTTATTTTGCTTTGCTTGCATGTGTGTGGCTTTTACTATACCTATTCAACTTTTGTTATCTCAACCCATGAGTTTTGTCATTTTACTCTTCTGTTCTCTCCCTCATTCTACTGGGGGAGAATGAGCAAGCAGTTGCATGATTCTTAGTTGACAGCTGGGGTTAAACCACAACATCACTACATGTTTTAAAACTTTGACATAATGAAAATCATGTCTATGTCATTGAGACAATTCAATACATTTCCTTTTTCATCCTTTGCTTATGGAAAAATAGATACAACAACTTTCTTACCAAACTTCTTCTCAGCTCTGCTTACAGTGTCCAGTGAGCTTATAACTTCTCTCAGGTGAGAACACTGTTTTTGGCCTTCCGTTGCGTAGCACACCTTTCCTTTCATTCTTCTAACCCATTTCTGAACAGTCTTCAATCTGACAGTATCTCATTCCAAACCTCAGTATAGAACAAGGCTTGAAAGCTTCTAAGTGTTGTGGAAATTACTCCAGATGCTATAAAGAACATAATGCCTTTCCTATATAGATAGCCAAGGTTCACATCTGCTGT